CTCCTCCTGAGAACAGCCTCTCCCCAGCCTCTCTGGGCCCCCTGCAGGGAGCTGGAGGCTGCTCTCGGATCCCCCCTCGCTCTGCTCTGCTGCAGCCTGAACAAGCCCCAATCCCCCCGCTCCCCGGCAGGGCCGTGTGTCCCAACTCCAAACCACAGGAGGTGGGGGAGGGGGACGCTTTGTACCCCCAATAACCCCGGGAACCCCCCATTCACCACTCCACTGGGGCAGTGTGGGGCTTGGCACAGCAGATGCCTTGTGACGGATTTAACAAGGGGCAGAGGGGGGCCTTTTAGGTCAGGGCCGGGGTCGGGAGGGACAGTTGAGAGGCAGGACTCCTGGGTTCTCTCCCCGCTCCAGGAGGGGTCTGGGAGCCCAGAGATCTCCCTCCCCCCCGCTGGTGGTGACCGTCCCGGGCCCGGCCGGGCTGAGGACCCAGGCGTGCGGGGAGGGGCAGTTCTGGGGGCTCCCCCCGCTGACTTCAGAGGCGCCAGCACATTTCATTAGGGTGCGCACCCACAGAATTTTTTAAAATGTACTTTGACTCCCCCATTAGCCACACCCCTAAGCCCCATTAGCCAGGCCTCTGGAGGCAACCCTTTCAGGGCAAGATAGACACATGACCAAAAGTAAGAGGTGTCATGTGACCTCCCCCCTCCCCCCCAGACGGAGGAGGGGGCTGCAGGAATCTCTTCCCTGCCCCTTTGCTTCCAGGCTGGGCTCTGAGACGCTGTCCCAGCGGGCGCGCGCTGCTCGGAGCCACCCGGATCCCGGGCTCCTGTGTTGGGCCCGTGACCTCAGTGGCCTTTCTGTGTGAATCCCGCCCTGTGGGGTGAGATGCGGGGTGCGGTGGGGGCATCTCTGAATACTCCTGCTCTAACCTGCTGGGGGAAGCGCTGTCCGGCCATGCTCCTGCCTCCACAGCGAAGTTGAGCTAGGACTGGGCTGTGTCAGTGCTGGGAGAGATGCACTTTGCAGGTGAATTCAGTCACCACCAAAACTCTCATATTTCTTTTCATTGCTTCAGCTGTGGTCAGTGGGAAACACCCCCAGGCAGCTTTTAGGTGGCTTCCTAGGTCCATCAAACAAAACATACTGAAACTGGGATGAGTCCAGGCACTGAAAAGTCTCCTTTCCTTCCCTCCACTGCCAGGTTGTGCCTGGGCATGAAGGCAGTATGCTTCTCGTACTCTTCCTTTGTGCACAACTGGCATCGAGTTGAAACTCTGGGGGTGGGAGGAGAGAAGCAGCAGGCTCTGGGCATGGCGGGGAGGGGATGAAAGCAACAGGCAGGCAGCAGGGAGTTCCACAGATTAACATGCTGTTAAAGTTAATACCACACTGGGCTCCCCAAAGTAGGGCCCGAATACCAGTGACATTGAGAGTCTGGGTACATTGCGCTCCCTCCAACCCGTAATGAACACCTTTTGTTTAGGGACACTGCAGATAGCCCAGATGAGACCCAAGGCCTGTTCTACCCGGTATCCTGTTCCCTCCGCCACATACTCCGTAGTGGGGGCAGGCCGTACCTGGACATGCTCCGGTTTGGCCCCACGACCCGTTGGCAGCTAGGGCTGTGCCCCTGCGGGGAGAGATGCACTTTGGAGATGGACCAAGTCCCCACTGAAAGTCTCATGAGGTTCTCATTGTCTCAGCCCCCCCCCCCGTGCTCCCCACAGGGCTCAGCTCCTGCCCCCTGCAGAGCCCAGCCACAGCCTGTGGGGCGGGAAGCTGTGGCCAGACCCCACCCCCCCCCGGGAAAGTCTCATGTTGTCTCAGCCCTCCCTGTGCTCCCCATGGGGCTCGGCTCCTGCCCCACTTCACAGCCCAACCACATCCCTCTGGGCAGGAAGCTGTGGCCAGCACAGACACCTCCCGGGGTGTGAGGAACTAGAGAGGCCCCAGGTGGAACCCCAGTGAGACAAACCCTGCAAGGTCACATTGGGGCCAGCCCTGCCGGCCAGGGGAGAGCAGACTCCAAAGCCGGGTCCCTCAGCCCCTAGAAACCTCCGTGCTTCCCATCAGGGCACTGGGCTCACTCCTGCCCCCCATTGCTGGTCGGACCCTGAGCCCTGCTCCCCCATCTCCTTGCCAGGCGTCACCCCCATCTCCCTGCTCTCTCACCCTTCTCAGGTTCGGCCTTGCCATGAGGTGAGCGGAGGCAGCCGGCTCTGGTGCCAGAGTGCGGTGGGGAGGGTGGGGTGGAAAGGAGGGGCACTAGGACCCAGAGTGTAGAAACAAGGGGTAGGCCTACCCAGATCATGATTACTCTGGGGTGGGGGAGCCCCTTTGCCCCCCCCCTGCCCCCTCAGCACCCATGTGTCTGGTAGGGCAGGAGGGGGGTCCGGGCACCCCC